CGTCACTGACCCCCCCCAAATCCTATCGATTCCCCACAAAGTTCCTATTGATCCCCCACAAATGTCACCGAGCTGATATCGACTCCCCCAATGTCACTGATCCTCCTCAAAATTTCATTAATTCCCCCCAAAATTCCCTCACGGACCCTCAGGTCCCYCCCCCAAATTCTGTCGCTGAGCCCTCCAAGCCCCAAATCCCCTCCAGATCCCCCAAATCCCCGCAAAAAACCCTCAATGACCTCCAATTCTCCTCACAGGTCCCCAGTATCTCCCACAGAACCCCAAAATCGTCAAAAACATTTTAAAAAAGCCCAATTTTCACCCATTTTGACGCTTTTCTCCCTCACCTGCCCCGAAGCCCCTCATAAAAAAAGCGCGGGAAGGCACCCAAGCCCCGCCTCCTTTCCGTAAACTCCCGAACGGAGCCGAAAGAACCCGAACGCTCTCTCCTAGGCGGGGCCGGAGATTTCCGACAAGACCGGAAATTTCCGAAAAAAATGCCGGGATGGACGAAAATTGACGGAAATTCCCGAGTGTGGGCGGAGAGGCCCGAGAGAGGGACGGAGAGGACCGAATGAGGAGCGGAAATTGCCGAAGGGGGGCGGGGCTTGCCCAGGGGGCGGAGTTGTCCGCGGCTTCCATCGCTCTTTCCGTTTCCGGCGGTCGGAGGGAGCGGAGGTGCCGCGTGGGGCTCCGGTTTGAGGGGCCCCGGGAGGGTTCCTGGTGCCGGGGGAGGGGTCCCCCAATCCCGGGAAGGGTCTCTAAGGGCGGGGCGGTGGGATCGGGGGGGGAACGAGGCGTAGCCGCGGTCTCCGGGTGGCGGCGGTCGCTGAGGCCGCTCCCCGGGGCTCTCCCCCGGTCTCCGCAGGCAAAATGTCGGCCCATCTGCAGTGGATGGTGGTGCGGAACTGCTCCAGTTTCCTGCTGAAGAGGAACAACCAGACCTACAGCACCGTCAGTGCCGCGGGGACAGCCCGAAATTGGGGAGGGTGGGGGGGATCCCTCAGTGCCACCTCAGGACCCTCCAAGCGCCAAAATGCGGCTCTTAATTCCCAAAAAGAGCTCGGAGGTGTCGCCACAGCCCCGTACCGATCCCCTAAAACCACAAAAAAAACCAAAAATAACCATTCAGGCACTCAATAAAACCCTTTTAACACCCAAAAGGAGTCCCAAATGCACCCCCGAGATGTTTGGGACTCYCCCAGACCCTCAAATCCTCCGATTTCACCCCAAATCCTTTGGGCTTTTATTCTGTCCCAATCCTCAGCCCCCTGAGCACCTCCCAAAATTTTGGGATCCCCTAAAAATTCTCGGGGACACCCCCAGATTTTCCCAAATCCCCTTTGAACACCCCCAAACCCTTCAAGTCCCCTGCAAGACCCCCTGAGTTCCCCTCAAATTTCTCGTAAACTCTTCCAAATTTTTAGTTTTTCCCACCTCAAAACCTCTCARATTTTTCRGGATTCCCTWTTTTTCACCCCCAAATYYTTTTAAAATCYCCCCAAAACCTTTTCCAGGAGCCAAATAACCTCAAAGCCCGCAATTCCTTCCGCTACAACGGGCTGATCCACCGCAAGACCGTGGGACCCCCTGAAATCCTCCAATCCCACCCMAAATCCTTTGGCTTTTACTCTGTCCCAATCCTCAGCCCCCTGAACACCTCCCAGATTTTTGGGATCCCCTAAAAATTCTCGGGGACACCCCCAGATTTTCCCAAATCCCCTTTGAATTCCCCCAAACCCCTCAGATCTCCCAAATTTCTCATAACCCCTTCCAAATTTTTAGTTTTTCCCACCTCAAAACCTCTCAAATTTTTCGGGATTCCCTATTTTTCACCCCCAAATCCTTTTAAAATCCCCCCAAAACCTTTTCCAGGAGCCAAATAACCTCAAAGCCCGCAATTCCTTCCGCTACAACGGGCTGATCCACCGCAAGACCGTGGGCGTGGAGCCGGCGCCGGACGGCAAAGGCATCGTGGTTGTCCTCAAAAAACGGGCAGGTGGGTGCTTTCTATATTTTTTTGGACATGAAATTTTTAGGGAGACCCTTAAAAAAATATAAATTTAAATTTTTTTTTTGTATTTTTAGGCCAGCGTAAACCGGCCACGTCGTACGTCCGCGTGCGGATCCGCCGCGACGCCCGCGGCTCCCTGAGGAGTTTGAGGCACCTGATCAGCAAAAACAGATACAGGAGGGACCTGCGCATGGTGAGGGGACCCCAAAATTTGGGAGGGGACCCCCAAAAAATATTGGGGGAAATATCCCAAAAAATCGGGGGAAATATCCTAAAAAAACGGAGGAAATATCCCAAAAAATCGGGGGAAATATCCCAAAAATCCAGGGGAGGATGGTGAAATTTGGGTAGCGGGGATTGGAAATTCATGGGAGGGTGGAAATGCTTAGAAAGAGGAAAATTCCTTGGAGGTGGATGATATAATGACCTCAAAAAGGTGACCCCAGCACTGGGGAGGAACCCAAAAAAAAGCTGCAGAGACCCCAAAAATTTTGGGGAAAGGGTTTTGAAACATTGGAGGGGAMTCAGAGCTTTGGTGGGGAGAATGTTAGGACCTGACAGGAGTCCCTCCAAAAAAGTGGAGGGATCATTGAAATCTCTTGAGGTGGCTTAAAACTTCTGGAAATTTGAAAAGTTGGATCTTTGTAACCCCCATGGAAGGTGGAAAGGGATCCCCAAAACTGGGGTGGTCCCCAAACTTTAAGGCGAAGCTCAGAGGGATAATTTAGGGTGTACACCCCRAAATCTCTGGAATTATTAATTTTTTGGGGATGCTGAGTGTTGTTTTTATTTTTTTCAGGCTGCCCTGCGCCGGGCCAGCGCCATTTTGCGCAGCCAAAAACCCGTGGTGGTGAGGAAGAAGAGGGTGAGGGCGGCCAAAGCCCCGTGAGAACCATCAGAAATAAAATCTCTTGGCAACTTCCAAAGTTTGTGCTTCATTTTGGGGAGGGGGTTACCTGAGGAGTTGGGGGGGATGTTGTCTCTATTTTTCCCCCATTTTTGACCCTTTTCTCCCCTCAGAATTCCCGCCCTTTTCCTCCCCTCAGAATTCCCGCCCTTTTCTCCCCTCAGAATTCCCGCCCTTTTCTCCCCCTCACGTTTCCCTCTCTTTTTTCCTCAAATTTTCTGTCCTTTTTCCCCTCATTTCCAGCTCTTCTCCCCTCAATGTTTCCCATTATTTTTCCTCTCAAATTTCTTACGCTTTCCTCCTATTTCTCACCATTTTCCCCTCAGACTTCCCACTCTTTCCCTTCACATTTCCCAACTTTTTCTCCCACGTTTCCTAACTTTTCCTCCATTTCTCCCCCTTTTTCCTTTCAGTGTTCTTACCCTTTTTTCCCTTCATGTTTCCCCCCATTTTTTCTGCTCGCATTTTCCCCCATTTTTTCCCCTCACGTTTCCCACCTTTCCCCCCATTTTCCCCCGCTTTTCCCCCTTATGTTTCCCATTTTTTCCACTCATATTTTCCGCCTTTCCCTTCATGTTTCCCACCTTTTTCCCCCCTTTTTTCCCCTCACGTTTTCCCCCATTTCCCCCCGCTTTTCCCCCTTATGTTTCCCATTTTTTCCACTCATATTTTCCGCCTTTCCCTTCATGTTTCCCACCTTTTTCCTCCCTTTTTTCCCCTCAGGTTTCTTACCCTTTTCCCCCTCACATTTCCCATTTTATCCACTCATTTCCCACCCTTTCCCCTCACGTTTCCCCCCTTTTTACCCCACTCAAAGACACACAACAGCTTTTTAAGAAGCAGAAATGTCCCTTTAATAACATCACATCTCCCCCTCCCAAATTAAGGCCTCAATGGTGTCCCCCTCCCCAAAACCCCCCTTATGATCCCTCCATGGGGAATCCATGACTCCCTCAGGCACTTGATCCCATCCCAAAGCCAAATCCTGCCCTACAAAGGACCCAGAACCCATTTGGGAACCCAATCCCACCCCGGATCATTATGGGGGGCTCAATCCCACCCCACAGAGGAACCAAAACCCCAATTAGGGTCCCAATATTCCCTCAGAGCAAACCTCACCCCCATTAGGGGCTCAATCTGCCCCACAGAGGATTCGGGACCCCTTTAGGAGCTTGATCCCACCCCATGAGGGGACCCCAGACCCCCAAAGAGGCTGATCCCACCCTTGGGTGAGCCCAAACCCCCATTAGGCTCCCAAACCCACCCTATATGGGGACCCAGACCCCCATTGAGCTCCCAAACCCACCCTATATGGAACCCCAGACCCCCAGAGAGGCTGATCCCACCCTGGGGTGAGCCCAGACCCCCATTAGGCTCCCAAACCCATCCTATATGGGGACCCCAGACCCCCTTTAGGGCCAGATCCCACCCTGGGGTGAGCCCAGACCCCCATCAGGCTCCCCAAAACCCACCCAGACCTCTCTCAGGGTCCCAAATCTGCCCCACAGAGGATCCTTCGAGAGCCTGACCCACCCCGGGAGAGCGCCCAGACCCCATTAAGGCCCCGATCCTGACCTGTGGCAGCCCCCAGACCCCATTTAGGGCACCATCCCCCCCTCAGGGTTCCCCCTCAGGCCCTGAGCAGCACCAACCTGCCCGTCTGCCCCAAATCCACGCCGAAAGCCACCAGGGTGAGGCCACTGAGCACGGCCACCAGCACCTCCCTGTCCCAAGAGCAGGTGGCCGAGCAGCCGTAGGGTCTCCGGGACTGACCTCCCATGTCGTCCGAGAAGCTGTAGAGCGCCCAGAGCACCGTGGCCGCCCCGTAAGCCACAACTCCCAGCCCTGCATACACCCCCAGCCCCCAGCGCAGCCCCTCGGGGTCCCTCATCCACCCGCACCACCCCCAGCCCAGCAGGCAGCTCCCCACCAGCAGCACCCCCAGCACGAAGGACACGCAGAAAATGCCCAAACACCAGCGCAAACCCRCGGGGCCCGAGGCGGCCTCCAGCTCGGCCGACAGCCCCAGCAGGACCAGGGACAGGAAGGTTTCGGCCACTTTGAGCAACCCCGAGGGGGTGGCCAGGTACGGGGCGGCCTCGCCGGGCTGGGCGCGGTCGCGGGTCACCTCGGCGGCGTAGGCCAGCGTGGCGATGGCCGAGGCGGCCGTGGCGGCGGCGCGGAGGGAGCGGGTCCGGCTCTGGCTGCCCTCGTTGCCCCGCAGGTGGCCCAGCGGCCACAGGATGGTGGCGGTGGCGCAAGCCATGCCGGCGGCCAGGGCCAGGGCCAGCGGGAGGTCGCGGCGGGGCGGCGGGCGGTTGAAGGCGTCGTTGAGGAGGAGGAGGACGGTGAAGAYGAAGGACAAAGCCCAGGCGGACAGGCAGCCGTCGCCCTCGCCCGCGTTCCAATAGCCGGGGGCCGCCGCCAGCGCCAGGGCCAGGAGGGCGCAGATGGCCTGGACGCAGCGCAGAGGGTTCGGGGCACGGCACGGAGACGGCATCTTGGGGGCTGCGGAGAAATTGGGGCGGTCACAGGGGTGGGGGCGTCGGGAGTATTGGGGGCGTTGGGACTGAGGGGTATCTGGAGGTATTGGGGATTAATGGGGCTGGGGATATCGAGGATATTGGGGGCTATTGGGACTGGGGATATTGGGATATTGGGGGTTAATGGGGCTGGGGGTATCGAGGATATTGGGGGCTATTGGCACTGGGGATATTGGGATATTGGGGATTCATGGGGCTGGGGGTATCAGGGATATTGCGGGTTAATGGGGCTGGGGGATATCAGGGATATTGGGTTTAATGGGGCTGGGGGCTATCAGGGATATTGAGAGTTAATGGAGCTGGGGGTTATCAGGCGTATTGAGAGTTAATGGGGCTGGGGAATATCAGAGAGATGGGGGTTAGTGGAGGGTCTGAGGGGTATTTGGGAGATTTAGAAGGGCTGAGACCCTTGTCAGGTGCAGCACAGAAGGGTTTATCCTGGGATTTTGGGGGCCAAGACGGGGTAATAGGATGTAGGGGGAGGCTGGGAGGGATTGGGGAGCACCACTGGGATTTGGGGTACGGAGCACTGGGGAAACTGGGGGATGCTGGAAGGCCGGGACTGGAATTAAGGACTGGGGAACTGTTGGACATTTTGGAACTGGGGGATATTGTGCGGCTGGCGGGATTTGGGGGCTTGGGGAGAATGGASGGATTTGAGGGAGGGCATCCCCACTTTTGGGGGATCCCAGGAACGCTGGGGATCCCCCCGGKGGTCCCGGACTTGCAGAGGGGTGGGGGCGGTCAGGGCTGTGCCCATATAAGGCCTTGGAGAATCTCCTTCCTCCCCCCCCCCTCCTCATCCCGGGGTCGCTCCGCCCCACCCGGGCGCTGGCTACATCCTGTGGGCGTTTTTGGGGGGTCCCAGAGGGACGGGGGAGACCCCAAGAGTCCGGGAAAAGGGGCTGGGGCGGGGGGCAGCACCCCAGGACCCCCCATATTGTATCACCTCCCCTTCCCCACAAAACCCCGGAGACCCCCGGGCKGGTCGCGGCACTCACCCGAGCGGGTCCGGGTTTTTCTGGAAGAGTTTGGGGTCTTTTGGGGTTCGGCTCGGGGTCCTTCCAGACGGGACGGTGCCGGTCCGGGTCGCCCTCCGGGTGGGCTCGGTCCTTAGCGACGGGACGGGCCCGGTTCGGGTGTTTGGGGACGGTTCGGATTTGTCGAGAACGGGGTTGGGGCTTTTCCCCGTTTGGGTCCTCTCAGGCGGGTTCGGGTCCCCTCAGACGGGTTCCGTTCCCCTCAGGAGGGTTTGGATCCCCTCAGGAGGGTTTGGATCCCCTCACGCGGGTTCGGCTTCCCTCAGGCGGGTTCGGGTCCCCTCGGGAAGATTCGCGTCCCCTCGGGCGGGTTCGGCTCCCTCGCCGGGCGGGTTCGGGTCCCCTCGGGAAGGTTCGCGTTCCCTCAGGCGGGTTCGGCTCCCCTGAGACGGGTTCGGCTTCCTCCGCCGGGCGGGTTCGCGTCCCCTCGGGCGGGTTCGGCTCCCTCGCCGGGCGGGTTCGGGTCCCCTCGGGAAGGTTCGCGTCCCCTCAGGCGGGTTCAGCTCCCTCCGCCGGGCGGGTTCGGCTCCCCTAGGGTGGGTTCGGCTCCCCTCAGACGGGTTCAGCTCCCCTCAGGCGGGTTCGGCT